GTTGAATACATATATGGGGCAAGCTCTAGCTTTGCTCCACATTAATCAACAAATCGATGTTTATCGTGTTGTGGATACGTTCGCAAAGTTACATCCAATGAGGATAACTTATGTAATGTATTGTGTGATATGTCAAAGTCTGTGTCATCAGAGTAGTGTGTTACACAAACTATTGTCAGTTTCATTTTTACATAAATGATATAACATGTAAAACAATTATGTTACAAGAAAATGAAATAAAAATAAGGGGCCACCGTAATCGCTGAATAAAATACAGTGAAGCTAGAATGTTTTGTCTGTTTTAGGACATATTACTATTTTATATATGGCAAGCATATATCCCAATATCTTATAATTTTTTTCGGTAACATATGATGAAAAAGATGATGAAAAAAAAAAGAAGATTTACAGTGAACCAAAACATTTATATACTGTAAAAAAAAACTTGGTGGTATGCTATTGGATAGAGCATTTAATTTGTTTGATGCAATCATTGTGACAGCTATTTGTTATGGTAGCGAGATATAGGGGTACGAATATTCGGAGATCATCGAGAGGGTACGAACTGATAGTTCTACGAATGTTGGGTGAATGTTGAAGGCTGCCATTATTCTTTGTTTATTTCAAGCGTTGTATCTCATATTGGTTGAAATTATTTTAAGTAAAAAGTAACCGGTACCAGAAAACATGTCATATAATGTTTAAACACTTAGAGTAGACCGGAAGACTTACTTGGGCAACCCACATACAAAAATATCCTGTTCAAATCTAGTTTCGACAAGTTGGGGATACTGTAAATTTCTTAGAGATATTTACTCAATGAATATTGTTGTCAGTAGGAATGGCATGTCTCAATTTCACAATCATCCAGGCTGTGTACTTACGGAAAAATCAAAGTAGTATTAGAACCTGGGAGATACTTAAATTGATTGGCAAGCAATTATAGGCTAAAATATATACTGGCGAGTTTTCGCTGTTTTGGCTATAAACATAATATTGATTTAGGCAGACACATGAAAATACCGATATATAAAAAAAATTGTAGTTTTTGTAATAATACGTTTGATTTAGAGTGATAGAAAACGAAACTCACATTGTTTTTATATGTCCATTATATAATGATCTAAGGGCTGATCTTTTGCCAATAACACTATTCAATTATGCAAATAATACTGACAGTCACAAAAACAGTATCACGGCTATGTGCGCCAATACCTGCGAAAAGCGAAAAACCTTAAAATGCATAGACAATAATGCTAAGATACGTACAATCTTGTCGTTTTTGTATATAACAATTTACCGCAATGGATCTATGGTGTGCGTGTGTTTGTCTGTGGGTGGGGTGGAAGGGGGTAGTGGGTCAGGAACCCCCTCTCTAAGAACGGTGAAATAGTTCAAAAATGTTACGTGAAATAACTTAACAACGTAACACAAAGTAAGCCAAGAATAAAAAAAATTCTTCAACAGACCTCTAAGATACCAAAGAATTCGCTCC